ATCAGTGTGTGTTGAGTGTTATCAGGTGTAGTTGAGTGTTATCAGTGTGTAGTAGTTGAGTGTTATCAGTGTATTGTTGAGTGTTATCAGTGTGTAGTTGAGTGTTACAGTGTTGTAGTTGAGTGTTATCAGTGTGTCGTTGAGTGTTATCAGTGTGTAGTTGGTGTTATCAGTGTGTAGTTGCATGTTATCAGTGTGTTGAGTGTTATCAGTGTGTAGTTGAGTGTTATCAGTGTGTTGAGTGTTATCAGTGTGTAGTTGAGTGTTATCAGGTGTAGTTGAGTGTTATCAGTGTGTTGAGTGTTATCAGTGTGTAGTTGAGTGTTATCAGTGTGTTGAGTGTTATCAGTGTGTAGTTGAGTGTTATCAGTGCGTAGTTGAGTGTTATCAGTGTGTAGTTGAGTGTTATCAGTGTGTTGTTGAGTGTTATCAGTGTGTAGTTGAGTGTTATCCAGGTGTAGTGAGTGTTATCAGGCTTGTGTTGAAGTGTTATAAGTGTGTAGTTGAGTGTTATTCAGTGTGTTGAGTGGTTATACAGTGGTGTAGTTTGAGTGTTATCAAGTGTGTAGTTGAGTGGTATCAGTGTGGTTGAGTGTTTATCAGTGTGGTAGTTGAGTGTTTATGCAGTGGGGTGTAGTTGAGTGTTATCGATTAGCGTAGTTGAGTGTTATCAGTGTTGTAGTTGAGTGTTATCAGTGCGTAGTTGAGTGTTATCAGTGCGTTAGTTGAGTGTATCAGTGTGTTGTTGCATGTTATCAGTGTGTAGTTAGCATGTTATCAGTGTGGTTGTATTCTAGGTTATCAGTGTGTAGTTGGCATGTTATCAGTGTGTCGTTGCATATGTATCAGTGTGTCCGTTGCGTGTTATCAGTGTGTAGTAGTTGAGTGTGTATCAGTGGTGTTTGAGTGTTATCAGTGTGTAGTTGAGTGTTATCAGTGTGTAGTTGAGTGTTATCAGTGCGTAGTTGAGTGTTATCAGTGTGTAGTTGAGTGTTATCAGTGCGTAGTTGAGTGTTATCAGTGCGTAGTTGAGTGTTATCAGTGTGTTGTTGCATGTTATCAGTGTGTAGTTGCATGTTATCAGTGTGTAGTTGCATGTTATCAGTGTGTAGTTGCATGTTATCAGTGTGTCGTTGCATGTTATCAGTGTGTCGTTGCGTGTTATCAGTGTGTAGTTGCGTTAACATTACATGTTACTTTTTTTAGACGCTTTTATCCAAAGAGACTTACATTCTCAATACTGTGGGCAATCCCCACAGGAGCACTTGGGGTGAAGTGTCTCAGGGACACAACGACATGCTGCCTGCCAGTGGGGTTTGAACCTGTGACCCCCTGATCCGAACACCAACGCACAACCCACTGCGCCACACGCCTCCCTGTTATCAGTGTGTAGTTGCGTGTTATCAGTGTGTAGTTGCGTGTTATCAGTGTGTAGTGCGTGTTATCAGTGTGTAGTTGAGTGTTACTCACGGTAACGGTGGTGTTGCAGGTCGGCTTGCAGCCGAAGCTGACGCCCATGCTCAGCGATCCTTCGATGCTCCGAAGGTACACACAGCCGTAGGTGGATAATCCCTGAAACACAGAGTTTCTCATCAGACGTTGCTGACACAGGAAGAGCATCCTTTACTCAGGTACGAATATAAATACGTTGGTATTAAAATACTCCAGTACTAGTAAAAAGCATCATACATCATGTGTTTTTATGTACAAAGTAACTATGAGTGTTAAATAAATATATGAGTTCAGGGAAATATATCAGAGTGAGACGTCTCACCGTGTTAACTCCACCCTCACACTGACTCAGATGGACATTAGAGCAGGACACACACTCGCCCTGAAACACAACAGAGACACCTTCAGGACACACACACACTGAAACACAACAGAGACACCTTCAGGACACACACACACACACTCTGAAACACAACAGAGACACCTTCAGGACACACACACACTCTGAAACACAACAGAGACACCTTCAGGACACACACACACTCTGAAACACAACAGAGACACCTTCAGGACACACACACACTCTGAAACACAACAGAGACACCTTCAGGACACACACACACTCTGAAACACAACAGAGACACCTTCAGGACACACACACTCTGAAACACAACAGAGACACCTTCAGGACACACACACACTGAAACACAACAGAGACACCTTCAGGACACACACACACTCTGAAACACAACAGAGACACCTTCAGGACACACACACTCTGAAACACAACAGAGACACCTTCAGGACACACAACACTCTGAAACACAACAGAGACACCTTCAGGACACACACACACTGAAACACAACAGAGACACCTTCAGGACACACACACATCTGAAACACAACAGAGACACCTTCAGGACACACACACATACTGAAAACACAACAGAGACACCTTCAGGACACACACACATACTGAAACACAACAGAGACACCTTCAGGACACACACACACTACTGAAACACAACAGAGACACCGTCAGGGACACACACACACACTCTGTAACACAACAGAGGACACCTTCAGAGACACACACACTCTGAAACACAACAGAGACACCTTCAGGACACACACACACTCTGAAACACAACAGAGACACCTTCAGGACACACAAACACTGAAACACAACAGAGACACCTTCAGGACACACACACTCTGAAACACAACAGAGACACCTTCAGGACACACACACACTGAAACACAACAGAGACACCTTCAGGACACACACACTCTGAAACACAAACAGAGACACCTTCAGGGACACACACACATACTGAAACACAACAGAGACACCTTCAGGACACACACCACACTCTGAAACACAACAGAGACACCTTCAGGACACACACACCACTCTGAAACACAACAGAGACACCTTCAGGACACACACCACACTTGAAACACAACAGAGGACACCTTCAGGACACACACACACTCTAAAAACACAACAGAGACCACCTTCAGGACACACACACTCTGAAACACAACAGAGACACCTTCAGGACACACACACACACTGAAACACAACAGAGACACCTTCAGGACACACAAACACTGAAACACAACAGAGACACCTTCAGGACACACACACTCTGAAACACAACAGAGACACCTTCAGGACACACAAACACTGAAACACACAGAGACACCTTCAGGACACACACACACTGAAACACAACAGAGACACCTTCAGGACACACACACACTGAAACACAACAGAGACACCTTCAGGACACACAAACACTGAAACACAACAGAGACACCTTCAGGACACACACTCTCTCTGAAACACAACAGAGACACCTTCAGGACACACACTCTCTCTGAAACACAACAGAGACACCTTCAGGACACACAAACACTGAAACACAACAGAGACACCTTCAGGACACACACACACTGAAACACAACAGAGACACCTTCAGGACACACACACACTGAAACACAACAGAGACACCTTCAAGACACACACACTCTGAAACACAACAGAGACACCTTCAGGACACACACACTCTGAAACACAACAGAGACACCTTCAGGACACCACACACTCTGAAACACAACAGAGACACCTTCGCAGGACACACACACTCGAAACACAACAGAGACACCTTCAGGACACACACTCTCTGAAACACACAGAGACACCTTCAGGACACACACACTCTGAAACACAACAGAGACAACCTCAGGACACACACTCTGAAACACAACAGAGACCACCTTCAGGACCACACACCACTGAAACACAACAGAGACACCTCAGGACACACACACTCTGAAACACAACAAGACACCTTCAGGACACACACACACTCTGAAACACAACACAGAGACACCTTCAGGACACACACACACTGAAACACAACAGACCGAGACCACCTTTCAGGGACACATCATCTCTCTGAAACACAACAGAGACACCTTCAGGACACACACACTCTGAAACACAACAGAGACACCTTCAGGACACACACACACTGAAACACAACAGAGACACCTTCAGGACACACACACTCTGAAACACAACAGAGACACCTTCAGGACACACACACTCTGAAACACAACAGAGACACCTTCAGGACACACACACACTGAAACACAACAGAGACACCTTCAGGACACACACACACTGAAACACAACAGAGACACCTTCAGGACACACACACACTGAAACACAACAGAGACACCTTCAGGACACACACACACTGAAACACAACAGAGACACCTTCAGGACACACACACACTGAAACACAACAGAGACACCTTCAGGACACACACACACTGAAACACAACAGAGACACCTTCAGGACACACACACACACTGAAACACAACAGAGACACCTTCAGGACACACACACACTGAAACACAACAGAGACACCTTCAGGACACACACACTCTGAAACACAACAGAGACACCTTCAGGACACACACACACTGAAACACAACAGAGAGACCTTCAGGACACACACACACTGAAACACAACAGAGAGACCTTCAGGACACACACACTCTGAAACACAACAGAGACACCTTCAGGACACACACACACTGAAACACAACAGAGAGACCTTCAGGACACACACACTCTGAAACACAACAGAGACACCTTCAGGACACACACACACTGAAAAACAGCAGAGACACCTTCAGGACACACACACACTGAAACACAACAGAGAGACCTTCAGGACACACACACACTGAAACACAACAGAGAGACCTTCAGGACACACACACTCCCTGAAACACAACAGAGACACCTTCAGGACACACACACACTGAAAAACAGCAGAGACACCTTCAGGACACACACACTCTGAAACACAACAGAGACACCTTCAGGACACACACACTCCCTGAAACACAACAGAGACACCTTCAGGACACACACACTCTGAAACACAACAGAGACACCTTCAGGACACACACACTCTGAAACACAGCAGAGACACCTTCAGTGGACCTGAGGTCTCACCTTGGTGGCCCGGGTCTCGTTGAGGTCGCAGCGGTGGGGCAGGACGGGTCGGATGGAGGCCGGCATCAGGACCCCCTCCAGGACGTACAGACGCCCGTTCTTACCCTCTACCGCCGCCTCCAGCACCGCGGCCCCGTCCACCAGAATCTGACCCTGCACATCAGAATAATGTACCTTATTAATCTAAAATATATGTTATTGATATACAATCTGACCCTGGACCAATCAAATATACGTAATTAGTATGAAATATGACCACAAAATCTACATTATCTATATAACATCTGTCCTCCGTGCTGTTTGCACCCAGTGACTCCAGTCAACAATGATATTAAGTCAAATACATCGTGTTAAAATACGTTTTCTGGGAGGTGAACTCACGTTGTTCGTCACGTTGATGGTGAGGACCTGGCTGGCCAACGAGGCGAGGCGCGGGCCGGAGACGGCGTTAAACACGTCCAGCTGTAAACCAGACTGACATCAGGAGGGCTGGGGCATTATGGGATGTGTACTGAATGAATGTCTTTACTCACGCCGGAGGACGGGACGATGTGGTTCCTCATCAGCTCCAGCAGCTTCCACCGGCCCTGCACAATAAAAGCATGTTTAGTTTCATTTCAACGAGGTGTGAGGTGTGTATGTGAAGCTGAGCCTCACCTCGGTGCTGCTCAGCCAGTCCAGCTGACCCTCCGGCATGGCGCTGAAGGCGGCGCTGCTCGGGGCGAAGACGGTCATCGGACCGGGCAGGTCCAGAACCGAGGCCAGAGACACTTTCTGAACCGGGAACAACAGGAAGTTCTTTATCTCATTCTCTGATCTCAGCAGATATCAGAATAAAGCAGCAGGACCAGAACCAGGACCAGAGACACTGAGCGAAAGACCTAGACCAGGTCGATACCAAGTTTAAGACCCAGTCAAGACCAAGACTCAGTCAAGACCAGGACTCAGTCAAGACCAATAACTAGTCAAGACCAGGACTCAGTCAAGACCAAGACTCAGTCAACACCAGGACTCAGTCAAGACCAGGACTCAGTCAAGACCAAGACTCCGTCAAGACCAGGACTCAGTCAAGACCAGGACTCAGGCAAGACAGAGACTCAGTCAAGACCAAGACTCAGGCAAGACCAAGACTCAGTCAAGAACAACACCGAGTCAAGACCAAGACTCAGTCAAGACCAAGACCGAATCAAGACAAAGACTCAGTCAAGACCAGGACTCAGTCAAGACCAAGACTCAGTCAAGACCAAGACTCAGTCAAGACCAGGACCCAGTCAAGACCAGGACTCAGTCAAGACAGAGACTCAGTCAAGACCAAGACTCAGTCAAGACCAAGACTCAGTCAAGACCAGGACCGAGTCAAGACCAAGACTCAGTCAAGACAGAGACTCAGTCAAGACAGAGACTCAGTCAAGACCAAGACTCAGTCAAGACCAAGACCGAGTCAAGACCAAGACTCAGTCAAGACCAAGACCGAATCAAGACCAAGACTCAGTCAAGACCACGACTCAGTCAAAACCAGGACCCAGTCAAGACCAGGACTCAGTCAAGACCAGGACTCAGTCAAGACCAAGATTCAGTCAAGACCAGGACTCAGTCAAGACCAAGATTCAGTCAAGACTAGGTTTATTACCAAATGAAGACCCAGACCTGCCCCAGTCTAGACCCAGTCCAGAGAGGTACGAACCTCTAACAGGGACTTGAACGTGTCGAACTTCCCGTAGTCAGAGACGATCTTCAACAGGTTCTCCTGTTGAAGACAAACAGGAAGTCAGTCTGAGTTCAATTAAACAGTGGATCAACATGAGGTCCAGGTCTCACCTGGGGGTCCAGGTCTCACCTGAGGGTTGCTCTCCACAGTCGGTGCCACGCTGTCCATCAGCTTGTTGATGATGTGGATCATCCCGTTAGACGCCACCACGTCCGACTGAAGGATCACCGCCTTCTTCCTGCTGCCGTGGAGACGGATCCTCATCTGCAGGTCCTGGGGGAGGAGGAGGAGGAGGAGGAGGAGGAGGAGGAGGAGGAGGGAGGAGGAGGAGGAGGAGGAGGAGGAGAAGGAAGAAGAAGAAGAACAAGAACAAGAAGGAAAGACACAACTTCTTCAGAACTTAAACCAATGTGACTTATAGCTGATTAATATGCGCCTTAGTGCCGACTCATGTCTGATTTGTTCTCCACTTTGTCCCGATTTATACCGACTTGTACCGACTTATACCGACTTGTTGCTGACTAAATGTCGACTTGTTAGCCGTGTGTCTCACCCCCTCGCTGGTGTCCATCTCCCCCATCTTTCCCGTCACAGTGTAGAAGACAGCGGTTCTCTTCAGCGAGTCGAAGGGCAGGACTCCGGCCACCAGGTGCATCTTGCTCAGGTACTGAGCCTTAGACCGGTCCGCCGTCAGAGACCGCACCTGAGAGGGAGACCGGGTCGTTAAACCCTCAGGCAAGTCTGAGCCCACAGGAAGGATAACAGAGACTTTCAAGATAAGAGGTTCTCACCGAAACCCCCCTGAAGCCTTTATTGATCGGGACAAACAGGGTGAATGGACCCAGGTTCTGCAGGGACCAGGAGAGAGACCCTGAAAGCAAACAGTTCTCATTGAGTTCTTCATTCCAACTCAAATCTGACTTGTTTGTGACTGATTGTCGACTTTTCGATGGCTGATATGTGACTCGTTGCTGACCTATTTCTAACTTGTGCGACTTGTTTCTGAATAATAGCCGACCTGTTAGTGACTTGTTTCTGAATAACAGCCGACCTGTTAGTGACTTGTTTCTGAATAATAGCCGACCTGTTAGTGACTTGTTTCTGAATAACAGCCGACCTGTTAGTGACTTGTTTCTGAATAACAGCCGACCTGTTAGTGACTTGTTTCTGAATAATAGCCGACCTGTTAGTGACTTGTTTCTGTATAATAGCCGACCTGTTAGTGACTTGTTTCTGAATAATAGCCGACCTGTTAGTGACTTGTTTCTGAATAATAGCCGACCTGTTAGTGACTTGTTTCTGAATAACAGCCGACCTGTTAGTGACTTGTTTCTGAATAACAGCCGACCTGTTAGTGACTTGTTTCTGAATAACAGCCGACCTGTTAGTGACTTGTTTCTGAATAATAGCCGACCTGTTAGTGACTTGTTTCTGAATAACAGCCGACCTGTTAGTGACTTGTTTCTGAATAATAGCCGACCTGTTAGTGACTTGTTTCTGAATAACAGCCGACCTGTTAGTGACTTGTTTCTGAATAATAGCCGACCTGTTAGTGACTTGTTTCTGAATAACAGCCGACCTGTTAGTGACTTGTTTCTGAATAATAGCCGACCTGTTAGTGACTTGTTTCTGAATAATAGCCGACCTGTTAGTGACTTGTTTCTGTATAACAGCCGACCTATTAGTGACTTGTTTCTGAATAATAGCCGACCTGTTAGTGACTTGTTTCTGAATAATAGCCGACCTGTTAGTGACTTGTTTCTGAATAATAGCCGACCTGTTAGTGACTTGTTTCTGAATAATAGCCGACCTGTTAGTGACTTGTTTCTGAATAATAGCCGACCTGTTAGTGACTTGTTTCTGAATAATAGCCGACCTGTTAGTGACTTGTTTCTGAATAATAGCCGACCTGTTAGTGACTTGTTTCTGAATAATAGCCGACCTGTTAGTGACTTGTTTCTGAATAACAGCCGACCTGTTAGTGACTTGTTTCTGAATAATAGCCGACCTGTTAGCGACTGGATTCTGAATAATAGCCGACCTGTTAGTGACCTGTTAGCGACCTGTTAGCGACCTGTTAGCGACCTGTTAGTGACTTGTTTCTGTATAATAGCCGACCTGTTAGTGACTTGTTTCTGAATAACAGCCGACCTGTTAGTGACCTGTTAGCGACCTGTTAGCGACTTGTTAGTGACCTGTTAGCGGCCTGTTAGCGACCTGTTAGCGACCTGTTAGTGACTTGTTTCTGAGTGTAAGGCAGTTACCCAGCAGGGACATGGCGCTGCTCAGCTGGCCCCTCCACTGCCCCCACGGCTCCGTGTTCAGGTCGCTCAGACGCTGCATGATGTTCCCGTAGCACACCTTCCCGTTACCCACAAACCCCTGCTTACAGGTGCACCTGGGGACAGGTCAGAGGACAGGTCAGAGGACAGGTGAGGGCGACAGGTGAGAGGACACGTCAGAGGACACGTAAGAGGACAGGTGAAGGGACAGGTGGGAGGACATTAAAGAACGGTCACCTGTGATCACAACATGACGGTATGAAGGGTTATATAATAATAATAATAATAATAATAATAATAATACATTTCATTTATATAGCACACTTTAAAAACAACGTCATCTCACAATGCTATGAGGAGAAAATCAAAATAAAGAATAATAAAAAGTGATCTAAGGAACATATTGAATACAATAAGGTAATATAAAAATAGATTAAGAGCATAAAAGGTTAGAATAAAAAAGATAAATGAATGATGTCTGGGAGGTACTGACTGGACCTGGCCCGGCTCTGAGGTTCTGCAGGTCGCCTCCTGGTGGCAGGACGCGGGACTGCAGGCGTCCTTCAGGCTGCAGCTGCCGTCCCTCCGGACGACAAACCCCGGGAGACACTCGCAGTGAGACTGAGGAGGACAGGTGAGTGCAGGTACAGGTAAATATACCGGTTAATACATACAGGTAATGTCCTACAGGTATTGTCCTACAGGTATTGTCCTACAGGTATTGTCCTACAGGTATTGTCCTTAATGTAATAGGTGAATATAGGTGATCCCACAGGTAAGAGCTAACATCCTACAGGTAAGAGCTAACATCCTACAGGTAACGTCCTACAGGTAACGTCCTGCAGGTAAGAGCTAACGTCCTACAGGTAACGTCCCACAGGTAAGGTCCTACAGGTAACGTCCTACAGGTAACGTCCTACAGGTAACGTCCTACAGGTAACGTCCTGCAGGTAAGAGCTAACGTCCTACAGCTAACGTCCCACAGGTAACGTCCTACAGGTAACGTCCTACAGGTAACGTCCTACAGGTAACGTCCTACAGGTAAGAGCTAACGTCCTACTGGTAACGTCCTACCGGTAAGAGCTAACGTCCTACAGCTAACGTCCTACAGGTAACGTCCTACAGGTAAGAGCTAACGTCCTACAGCTAACGTCCTACAGGTAACGTCCTACAGGTAAGAGCTAACGTCCTACAGGTAACGTCCTACAGGTAAGAGCTAACGTCCTACAGCTAACGTCCTACAGGTAACGTCCTACAGGTAAGAGCTAACGTCCTACAGGTAACGTCCTACAGGTAACGTCCTACAGGTAACGTCCCACAGGTAACGTCCTACAGGTAACGTCCCACAGGTAACGTCCCACAGGTAACGTCCTACAGGTAACGTCCTACAGGTAACGTCCTACAGGTAACGTCCTACAGGTAAGAGCTAACGTCCCACAGGTAACGTCCTACAGGTAACGTCCTACAGGTAACATCCTACAGGTAACGTCCTACAGGTAACGTCCTACAGGTAAGAGCTAACGTCCCACAGGTAACGTCCTGCAGGTAACGTCCTACAGGTAACGTCCTACAGGTAAGAGCTAACGTCCCACAGGTAACGTCCTACAGGTAACGTCCTACAGGTAACGTCCTACAGGTAACGTCCTACAGGTAAGAGCTAACGTCCCACAGGTAACGTCCTACGGGTAACGTCCTACAGGTAACGTCCTACAGGTAAGAGCTAACGTCCCTAAGGTAAGAGCTAACGTCCTACAGGTAACGTCCCACAGGTAAGAGCTAACGTCCTACAGGTAACGTCCTAAAGGTAAGAGCTAACGTCCTAAAGGTAACATCCTACAGGTAAGAACTAACGTCCTACAGGTAACGTCCCACAGGTAAGAGCTAACGTCCCACAGGTAACAGATACAGGTGTGTCCCCTGACCTTCCCCGGGCCGTCGTAGACGCAGCTCGTGGTCTCGGCGCTGCACCCCCCCTGGTTACTCTGGCAGGGGTCCACAGCCATGCAGACCCTCCCGTCTCCACTGAAGCCCTCGTTACAGGCGCACAGGTGCGTGCCCGGCCCGGTGGGGACGCAGGACGCCTGCAGGTGACACACCTGCGTCCGGCAGGGGTTCACGGCTGGGGACAGACAGCAGGAGACACTCTCAATACACAGGGATTAATAAAGGTTCATCTCATCTTATCTGATCTCATCTTATCTTATTCATTATTGTGTTCAGCTCATGATAGTTTATATTTAGTTTCCTAATGAACTCACAGAGACAGGTGTCCCCGGACTTCTGGTATCCAGGTAAACACTGACAGACCAGCCGAGCAGTCAGAGCCTCCTCCATGCAGCGAGAGTTCAGAGGACAGCGCAGGGACACACACTCAGGTAGCTCTGCAACACAGGTAGATATACAGGTAGATATACAGGTAGATATACAGGTAGATATACAGGTAGATATACAGGTAGATATACAGGTAGATATACAGGTAACTGACCTTGATCACAGCTGGGCCCTTTGTATCCGGAGAAGCAGGTGCAGCGACCGTCACCTGTCAGACCAGAGGCACACACACCGTGCACACAGGAACACACTGCACACACACACACACACACACACACCACACACACACACCACACACACACACACACACACACACACACACACACACACACATACACACACACACACACACACACACACATACACACACACACACACACACACACACTCAGTGGGTCATTTATCGTAAATGAATCATTTTAAGACGATATTAAACCACAGGTATGAGGTTACCTGAGCTGCAGGTGGACCCGAAGCGTTTCGTAGAGCAGTCCTCACAAGCTGTCCCTGCAAAGCCCGGCTACACACACACACACACACACACACACACACACACACACACACACACACACACACACGCACGCACGCACGCACACACACACACACACACATTTGAATACTTTATTTGGTTTCACAAATTATATTACATAAGACAGGGAATCAAATATATCGGGGCTAAGCAGCACAGAACCCTTAAGGGAACACATAGCATCTCCTTCTCCACACGGCTAAGCAGCAGCCTTAAGGGAACACATAGCATCTCCTTCTCCACACGGCTAAGCAGCAGCCTTAAGGGAACACATAGCATCTCCTTCCCCACACGGCTAAGCAGCAGCCTTAAGGGAACACATAGCATCTCCTTCTCCACACGGCTAAGCTGCAGCCTTAAGGGAACACATAGCACCTCCTTCTCCACACGGCTAAGCAAGCAGCCTTAAGGGAACACATAGCACCTCCTTCTCCACACGGCTAAGCAGCAGCCTTAAGGGAACACATAGCATCTCCTTCTCCACACGGCTAAGCAGCAGCCTTAAGGGAACACATAGCATCTCCTTCTCCACACGGCTAAGCTTGCGCCTTAAGGAACACATAGCACCTCCTTCTCCACACGGCTAAGCAGCAGCCTTAAGGGAAACACATAGCATCTCCTTCCCCACACGGCTAAGCAGCAGCCCTTACGGGGAAACA